TTATTATTATTATTATTATTATTATTATTATTATTATTATTATTATTATTATTGGTCATGAGCCAGCCAGAATTGGCTGGAGTTGGGCAGCATACAAATTGAATAAATAGCAATAGCACTTAAACTTATATCTGCTTCATAGTGCTTTACAGCCCTCTCTAAGCAGTTTACAGAGTCTGTATATTGCCCCCAACATTGTAGGTCCTCATTTTACCGCCCTCAGAAGGGACGGAAAGCTGAGTCAACCTTGAGCCGGTCAGGATCGAACTCCTCGCAGTCGGCAGAATTAGCCTGCAATACTGCATTCTATCCATCACTCGTGGCTACCAATGGTTCTTCTAAATAAATGTGAGACCTCAAAATTTGGTATTCCCCCAGTGGTGGTATTTGACTGGTTCTGCCCGGTTCTGGAGAGCCGGTAGGAGCGATGAGCAGCAGAGACCTAATGGGTTCTCTCCACTGCTCTGCTGGCTCTGCTGTTGGGCCCGCCTGCCCGGGCTCCCCTACTCACCTTTATCCGTTGAATTTGAAGCGCAGCTGCTTTGCGCAGCACAGAATAGTGCCGTGCGGCAGCTGCTGAAGCGACCGGGATCGTGCAGGCTTGCAGGAGGTGAGTTAGAACGCCTCTGCGCCTGCGCAAAGTGCGCATTTAGCGTGCGCGTGCATGCCAAGTGTGTGCACGTGCGCAAAGCATGCCCACCAAGCCACGCCCACCGAACCGATGGCAACAATATCTGAATATCACCGCTGGTAGCCCCATGTATGAAAAGATCTCAAAGAGCAAGAAAATGACAAATAATTGACAGAGGCTACCCAAAGATCATTTAAAACAAAGCATACAGATTTCGTATGGGCCATATGAAAACGTTGTCATCGGAGCAAAGTTTCAAGAGAAGGAAAACATTTTGCAAAGGGACCTCTATTGAAATGTAGCAATTGTACATCTTTTGGATATATTGGACTGCCTCTACATTGGGCTGCCCTTGAAAAGCATCTGGAAGCTCCCGTTAGTTCAAAATGCAGCAGCCCACATGGTTTTGTGCAGACCTTAATGTGGACATGTGTAACCTCTCCTGCGGGAGCTGCATTGGTTGTTGATTTGCTTCCGGATACAATTCAAGGTGCTGGTAATCACCTTTAAAGCCCTTTATGGCTTGGGACCAGGTTATCTGGGGGACTGGTCACATCAACCCGACCACCCAGTAGAGTGGGGAGACAAGGAAAGTTGCAGGTCCCATTCTCTAAGGAGATACATCTGGTGGAGGTACATCTGGTGGGAAGAAATTGTTTTTTCATCCAGAAGAAGAGCCTTCTCTGTAGTGGCTCCCTCCCTTTGGAATATCATCCCTTCAGAAATTAGGCTGGTCCCCACTGACACTCTTTTGTAAGGCTCTGAAGACTTGGTTTTGCCAGCAGACCTGAGGAACTCAGAGTGGGATGGAACCCACCAAATGGTTTATTTGACTGGCTATTTTTTTTTAAAATTTTTCTCTATACTATGTTTTTATTGTTTGAAAGCACCTAGAGATGCTGTGAGTGAGTAAGTGGCCATATAAATTTTCTAAATAAATAAACTGCCTGCCATTAAATGTATGAGGAAAATGCTCAGATTGGCACTCATAAGCCCAAAATGAAGGAGCTATAGCAATCCTCATTGCTGCTGTCGCAGAATTGTTCTGACCTTTGTATACCAGAGAATTCTGAGCTATCTAAGATGGAGGTGATGGTCTGTATTTTGTATAATATTTCCTTTAAATGTTGGAGGCTGGACATACATAAGGGTTTTGGTTGTCAAGTTTTTTTTATTTTATAAACATAAAATTGATTTTGGCATTGCTAAACCAAGCCAGGTCTTAATGCTGAGAGGCACTAATCAATTTATGCTCCAAGCTTCTATTGAAGGATCTGGCATTTTACCTTTTGATGAGACATGAAGATGGGACGATCAACCTGGATGGTACCACATCCATTTTTGGTAACCTCTTCATCCTATAATCATGACTGCCAAAATCAGTGCTGGCATTTTTAAAGCAAGGAAGAAAGATTTTCCTAAAATCTAGACAAAAACCAAAACAATTCAACCCAATTCACAGAACTGACACAGGGCCCTTGCTTAACATTATTGCGTCTTCTAGTGCAGCCCTCCCTCCTTACACTTTAAATCAGGGTCTCCAACCTTGGCAACTTTAAAAGCTGGCTTGCTGGCTGGGGAATTCTGGGAGTTGAAATCAACCAGGCTTAAAGTTGCCAAGGTTGGAGACCCCTGAATGACCTAGGAAATGTTTTATAATCAGTGGAGTAATTGAGTAATTTTACATCGTGGGTAACAGCTTTATGACACATATCCTGTATCAGTTATACTGATTATGTAAGCTACTCCAAATTGAGGTAGGCCAGCCCTGCTGCATTTTGGAAGTGCCTTTTGAACACAAGAATCATTCTACAAAATTTCTGCTTCAACAACACTGACAATAACAACACTGCTCACACTTGAGAGAAGAATGAAACAGCAGATGATGGATGAAATGAGTAACATCTTATATGTGTGGGTTGAGATATGAGGCGTATTGTGTGAAACAGAGCACCATTTAACACTAACATACTGAGTGTGGAACAAGGACAGTCCAGGAAGGCTTTGCAATAAACCAGTGAAACTGAACAAGCCACCTTAACTCCATTCTGAAGATGGCTAGTCAGTGCTAATCGTACATTTTTCTGAAGTTAGGAATAAAGGGTAATTCCCGTTCCTGCTTGTCCAGCTGTTCTGAACATTAAGAAAAGCCACCCCCCTCAATTTCAGTGTTATCTTTCACTTTCATTATGTGGATAGACTACAACCACAGATGGCTAGTGTTAGTCCCACCATAATGTAAGCCTGCTAGAAAGTGCATTTCATCTGAAAATGTTATTTTGCCCCAAGCCAAGCACTAATCAGAGACAGGACTCGGAAACAGAGAAGAAACACCAGCTGTTTATTGTATCAAGAGAAATACAGCTGGTACAGTCACATCCTGTCTTTAACAGATTGTTTAAATCTAAGGAGGCTGAGTTATATGATGAGTGGGCGGTTATATAAATCAAGTAAAGAAATACCTAAAGCTCAGATCAGTCTCTTTACTCTTGACCTCTTTGCTACTGATTTCTTGGTATTTAAATAAAATGTCTGCATTCCTTAATGATTCCAAACATCACACATGGAGACATTAGCAATGGGTTCTCTGTTGAAGTTATTTGTGTAATATGATCAAATGCATTTGATGAATAATTGCTTCAGGGAGATTTGTTTTCTAGCCATAGCTCCTCAAGTTCAATGTGTAGCTTTCTATCAGAGCCTTGACATTTCCATAATAACAAAATCCTTGAGGATCCAAGTTCAGAGAAAAGTTTTGTCACTTTTGAGGGCACAAAAATAAAATGTGATATATGGTTAGAAACTTTAAAGCCAAACATTATCTTAACCTGGAAAACAGGCCTCTCAGCTAAGGCACTTAGATGCTAATGAAATCCTGTCAATCGGGTTTGTGTTTTTTTTTTGGGGGGGGGGGAAATCATTGGTTTAGGAGCAATGAAATGCCAATTTGATCACCTCCCATTCTCAAAAACCTTCATCAGGAAGGGCTGTTATTTGGCTCCTGAGGTTACTATACCAGAATTAGCACAATAGGCAATTACATAAAAAACTTTCCTACTTCTGCTAAGACTCATTAATACAGACTAAGTTATGAAACATATCTTCACAAAAGAATTCTGAGAAGATAGAAAAAAACAGAATGCAACCACGCTGTCCTTAAACCCACACTACAACTATGGTATAAGGTATTCCAAAGTCTTAGGATATATATATTGATTTGTAACTTTATGAAGTAAAAACATAAACAATGAAGAGGGAATACATAGTTTTATAAAATCTTTTAAAAAAAACAGATTCCCCTGAAAAACAACTAGTGAGAGGCTGCTGCATGAGAGACAGTCTTTCATCCACTTAAAATGTCATTTTAGAAAATATATTTGTGGGTAGGAGATTATCTGCTGTAGGAAGCAGCTCGCCTGTAAAAGCGGTGAAACGATACTCCTTGTGAAGGTCCTTCTTCAATTCACCAAGCGCCTCCTCCAAATGCTGAACCTGTGGCGGCAAAGATTCAGATATGAATAAACAACCTGTACACAACACCTAATGATCAAATTAACATAACGTGACCATCTTATTTTCGGTTGTGCCTCAAACAATACTACACAGTTGCACACTTGGATCTCTCTGCCATTCTCATGTCAGTGTGAAATAATGGACTCTGTGTTGCCTTTGGCCAAGAAAGCTTCAATTATGAATTCTGCTCAGTATTGTTGCTAATATATATTCTTCTGCTTACTTAAACCACTGTGTACCTAGACCTCATGGAATGCAGTGTGTCTTTAGTCTCGGGTGAAGAAATAATAAAATGCAAAAATTAAGAGCTGCCCCACACTTCCCACTTGCCCCGACATGAAGATAACCACTAACTGTCGAGAACACAAATACACCATGTGCCCAACCCATCCTGACCCACCACAAAGGCAGCCTCCACTTGTTACTTCTCCTACAACTTAAATTATAATGTATTTCCACTTCTCTGTTGGCACAAGCATGCCAAGTCAGATGTTCCTGTATCCTCTGGATCTCTAACCACCAATTTTCTTTTCAGTTGGGTAGAGTAACGGGCACCGGTATACCTCTGGACATGACTTTGGCTCTGCAGTCCTAAAACTCTGAGGTGCAGTATTGTGACGGCTTCCCTGCAGGACAGGGGCACGCACCTCCCAGTTGTCTTCAGCACTGCAATGCCAAATATGTAGTAGAGGTGCATTTTAAACATATCTGTGGTGCTGGGATTGTCTTTAGACCTTCTCTCTACCTCCCTGCCCCACCCCAGATTTCAGGAATATTTTTTTTAAAGCTACAATATATTTTAAGCTGCCAGAAAAGGCTCTGGTCTCTCCTCCAAGTGTATGTATAAGGACAGGAACACTTCCTCTGGCTTCACAAGGCAGCCAGGAGAGTCGCTGCGAAGCCTGCAGTCCCGCCAGGAAAGAGTGAGAAAGCTTATTTCAGCTCCTGTTTTCTTCCTGTTTCAAAGTCATCAATGGCAGGCAGGGGGAGAAAAAGGGGTGGCAGCATATCTTCTCCCCTGTTTTTGTTGTTGTGGGTTGAAGGAGAAGCAGGAAAGAGATAGTGGGAAGCAATGAGGACTGGCTCCCTTGGTGTGAATTCATTGGTCTTGTTAGATTGAAGAAAACCAATGAATCCTCTGCTGCTTAGGACTGGAGCTAAAGGAGGCTTTCCCAGACCACCTCTTCTCTGCTCTGAACTCTCATGTGGTCAAAAGCCCTATTCTGGTTTCATTGCCAAGGCAGACGAGAGGCCCAAAGTACCATCAGGACGTTGCTGAGTACTTTTGAGCAGGCTACTATCCTGGATAATTGTACAGGACAGCCCTGCATGTAATAATGGCCATTATTGCTTTAATTGTATCACCATGGGGTTTCCAAAATTCCATGGCAAATAAAATTAGTCATAGGTTTAAACTCTAGCAAAGATAGGATATTTATATTTATTGGGGCAAATTCCAGAATATGGGTGCCACAACCAAATATGGGGAAGTTACTTTACATTCCAATGCCAACTTTCCTAGAAATAAATCCCACTGGACATTTTAATATCTGGGATTGTGCAGTTAAGTTTCTTTCAGCAAGAACCGATTGGATTCCACTTACAGCAATTATCATACTTCTACTGTAGCTCAACTTTTTTTCATTTTACTTGAATGAAACTCTCACTGGGTTCCACAGGATATATTTCCATATTAAAGTGCATTTGATCAAAATTTAGCATATTTTTAGGATAGGCTAAAATCCTAAATTTGCAGAGCCATATTTCAGTGACAAAACTGGTTTTACTTCTGGCATTTCTTGACGGGGCTGAAAAAAATCTAGGCTACTGCTAGTGGTCAGTTGATAATACCAGGTTTAGTTGGCTAATGATCTAAATCGGAGACAATCATTCTATGTTATACAATGAAACTACTGTATATTTATATGAAATTATTATTCTTAACCCCCTATAGGTAATCCTCGCTTAATGACTGGTCAACGGCTGTACCTCCCTGAAGTCATGCCATTGCATGTTGGTCACTTAGCGACCAGCTCAGGTTTATGGCTGATTGCGCATTCTGCAGTCACGTGACCATGATTTTTAGTGGTTTTTGCCAAAAAATTCCCATTTGGGAAACAGGTTCGCTTAGAGACTATGGTGTTCATTTAGTGGCTGCTGCAAAAAAGGTCATAAAACCAGGCATAATTATGTGGCGACCTGTTTAACGACCATCATGAATTATGACCATAACTCCAGGTTCAATTCCAGTCATAAGTTGAGCGCTATCTGTACCATATGCTTTTTTAATACTGAAGAACATTTTTTTAAATCAACCAATTGAGCAGTGAGAAGAAACTTACTTTTTTCTTTTTCCACACATCAATAGCAAATCACAAGACCATCTTACAAATCTTGAATGAAAACAAGCCTTAAAGCGCGTTTTAAAATGGATTTTTCATTCGGTTTTATATATAGAAGAATCTGAATACTTTGAACCGTTTCAAGTTTCACATACTACAGGTAATCCTTGATTTACGACCACAATTGGACCAGAATTTCTGTTGCTAAGCAAGATGCTTGTTAAATGAGTTGCACCTGATTTTACAACCTTTATGGCCACAATCGTTCAGTGAATCATATGGTTGTTAAACAAGTCCAACTTCCCCAATTGACTTTGCCTGTTGGAAGCCAGCTGGGAAAGCTGCGAATGGCCCTGGGGCCACTGTTGTAAATGTATTTCAGTTGCCAAGCACCCAAATTTTGATCACATGACTGTGGAGATGCTGCAAAGGTCGTAAGTCTGAGGACTGGTCATCACTTTTTTCAGTGCCATGAAAACAGTTCATTGGCCAGTAAACAAATGGTTGTAAGTTTAGGTCAGATGAATACCTTACATTACTTTTAGTCCTGTTTCTCTATATTTCTGGTTCTAATATCGTATATTGTCAGTTCTAAAAATGACTTTTTCAGCTACACATAATGTAAGCAGCCTTCGAGTTAGAATGATTCATTTAGTGACCATTTGAAGTTACAACAGCATTGAAAAAAGTGATTTATGACCGTTTTTCACACTAAGTGACCATTGCAGCATCCCTGTAGTCACATAATCAAAATTCAGATGCCTGGCAACTGGCATGTATTTATGAAGGTTGCAGTGTCATGGGGTCATGTGATCACCTTTTGCGACCTTCTGACAAGCATAGTCAATGGGGAAGCCAGATTCACTTAACAACCATGTTACTAACTTAACTGCAGTGAAATTGTGGCAAGATTGATTGTAAAATGGAGCAAAATTCACTTAACAACTGTCTGACTTAGCAGTGGAAATTCAGGGCTGAATTGTGGTCATAAGCAGAGGACTACTTGTATGCATAGGTTTTATAGCATATAAGATTAATATAAAATAATACACAACTGGTATACATATTTTCTACTGATATTTTATTTTAAAAAATCCTGCCTTAAATGTTTTTTTCATTCATTCATTTGCAAAGCGCCATAATCAAAATTCTTTGTCTCATTTCAACTAGTTTTCCTAAATGAAGAAATAATATTTCTTTTTATTTATTTTTCATTCACGTTGCTCAACCTATCTTCCCATCTTACAAATTGATTGCATTTACTAGAGTGAGTTAGGGACTGCTTTGCAATCTTGATTCATATCCAAAGCAAACTTCTGTCAACATAGTTTATGGTACGATTTGCGATCAAGAGGAGAGGAGATTGGAAAACTCCAAGGGGGTGAGAGCGACATGAGCACAAATCACATTCAATCCCAGCATTTAGGAATGGTATATATGAACCAATCCTATATTTCAAAGGGAATAAATGCAACCTCCAGTGTCAAAATCTTTGATTTGTTTTCTAAATGCAAACTTACAGTTTCAAGGTCTTGATTTGCTTTTTCCATATCTTCTTTGGGTAGTCCTCTTAACTTTTTTCTTTTTTCTTTCATTAATTGTGTGTGTTGTTTAATGCGATTTTCTACTTCCTTATATTTTGCAGTTCTGAAAGAAGAACCAGAATCAACTTTCCCCCCCAATTTGTCCGTGTTTTCATGTATAGATCTACTTAGGAAGTACATATCTAATAAATACTGTTATACAGCAATTAAAAACCATATGACAATGTAGAAAGAGTAACATTTTAAAAGACATGAAGCTTCTGAGTGTTGTCAATATTTGGGATATACATTTATGCTTCTAAAACTACACAATTGAATAAAACTGGAATTTTTAATCTGCTTCTCCTAGCCTACAAAAAAAATAAGATGCAATCTTGCTTAGAAATAACATTTAATAAACTCAATTAGAATTTAGTAAACACAGAATTATACAGTTTTTTACTCCTCTCCTTCCTAACTCCCCCCCCCCCCCCAAAAAAAAAACCCTAACATGGACAATAAACACTGTAACACACCATGCATTTATATAGATGAGCTCATCTGTATTCAGGTTTGGTCCTAAACATTTGATGAACAGCAAGTTATGGTCGTAGCCATGAGGAGGTACATAATACCTACAGCTGGTCAAATTTCTTAACACTAGAAGCAGAAAATCTGCTGAACATCTTGGCTCCATCCTGGCAGTAAAAATTCTATTAATATCATTAATTAATGTTCAGTTTGGAGCCTTTTCTTATTAGCCTTCAAATCAGCAGGGAGCTGAGGGAGCTGCCTTATTCAGCGTAATGATAGGGCTGGTTTTGACAGCAGTTTTCAACAGAGTACGATAGAATAAATATCTCTGAGTGTATGTAATAAGATAGAAGAATTTCCTTATTCAATGGCGATGGAATCATTCTGACCACTACCTTGGTTGATAGAAAGTAATATCTTTGATTATCCATCTTGTGCATCTGTTTTTATAGAAAGGCAAGGGGTTTCTAATATTAGAATATTAATTCATATTTTAGATAAATATCCAGGAAAACACAGCAGCAGTGGCTTTGCTGAATATGGAACAAAAGTAGATCCAATTTTCCCAGCAACTTTTGGCTAGTATTAATTTTTTTCTGTGTTTTTTTAAAATCATGTCACAATGTCATTTTGAATTGATGATACTTGTTTGCTCTGCTTATGACCTAGTTCTCTATCAAAATAATAGAAGTCCTGACCATTATTATTCCACAAGGTAATGGTTTAATTCTACATTTAATACTTAGAAAACAGAACTTCCCTTCATTTTTATTTTTGCTATATTTATTTGCTCTCTTAATTTTTTCTGCATTAAAGCAATTAAAAAGAAAATGATATAATTTGAAATGCTAATGTTTCCAAATGAGGCATGTGTCCACCAATGCCCTTTTCTGGCCGGAGGATGACTTGGATGGCTTTTCATGTATCCTTGTGGCAATAATTCATTTTAATGTAATCTCTAGAGGACATACAGAGGTAATTAGGCAACAGGCCATGGGTACCATCTGGGGTTCTCTCTTCCTTGGTAATCTTAAAGCCACCTGCTCTTTCTGATTTTTTCTGAGAACAAAACAAATATCACTACACTTTGGCATAAAGCCATCATAGCTGTCTGTACATCCTTGTAGCGTCTGTCAGCCTGTGGTTTTGATTTTATCTTAAAAACTCACAACAATAATGAGGGCAAGATGATCCACCAAGTACTATTCTGTTTGCTATCCTATATTTAAAATAATTAGATTCTAACATTATTTAATTTTCTTTTGAAGATTTTTGTTAGATGTCTAATCTACCGGTGTACATAAAATAAAATCCTCTTCAATATTGCTCCACAATAACTTTGTCAGGTAGGATGTCTGAAGTTACCCACTGAGCTTCCATGATTAAGAACTGGTTTCCATTACTAGTCCAATATTTTAATTTCTGTATGACACATTCCACACGAGCTTTCTCTTTATATTAAGTTTTTAAAAATTACATTATCTTTTATTGCACAATTCAAGACAGCACATCTTATTTGCCACTAGGAAGCATGCGATGTTTCCATGCTTTTTTTCTTGCATGTATCTTCAAATGAGAAACAAACATAAGATCTGAAGACTTCTTCAGAAATAAATTGGCTTATTGTAGTAATGCTTCTCCATTCAGATATATCTATTGAAAAAAAAAACCCACAAACTATTTCAAAACATTGAAACTTCTGAAAATGCAGGAGTAATATCTATTCTAACTGTATGCAAAAAAGGCATGTGCTATTATTTTAGAGAACAATAGAATATTAACACAGTGCTTGCTCTCTTTGAACACTATGCTATCAGCTGCTATCAGCTAAGAAAAAAATTCTTTAAGCTGATTAGGCATCTGTCTCCTGTCTTCAAGCTTTAAAGCAATTAAAAAGGTTTTCCTCTGAAGTCCCTAGTTATGAACACAAAGTTTCCACAAAGCAACTTATAGAGCAAAATCCAGGAAGAAGAAAAAGTTATATTAGACTGGTGTGGCAGGATCATATTTTGATATTAAACAATACTTTTACAGACAGTATACATGAACAAGTACACAAGAAAAAGTAAAGAAAAGAAAAACAATAGTAACAAAAGGCCATAATTTGCAAGAATGTCATCTTATAACATTCTAAGCAAAGCTTAACTGTATGCAAGCTCAATGGTCATATACTACTTCAAGAATAAATGTCTATGGAGATTCTTAGTAATCCAGGTTATCCCAAAGATGCTTTATTCAAGAGGCAACTGGACTTTCAGGTTAACCAGAAAGTCCAGTCGCCTCTTGAAAAAAGCATTTTTGGGACAACTTCAAGAACAGATGGTCACTCTTTATTTTGTGTACATTAAGGTTTTCATAAAATTGTTATAGACAGCAGTGCTTCTCAAGTATTATCTCTGTGTTTCACTTCAACACTTTGAAGACATGTGTATCATCTTCCCTCTCTCAAACACATTGAAGAAGTCACTGAAGAGACATACAAATGCACACACATTTTCATAAGGAGCTGGAGCTTCCATTACTGGGTTATCATCTCATGTGATAGCAAATGCATTGGAGCTAGATTTGTCACTGCAGACAATCGAGCTCTATGCTGGGAGACCATCTGTTCACTTGTGTCATCACCATGACTAGGAGCAGGGAGAAGACATCATTGCTCCTTACATGTTGAATGATATTCATTGGTTTCATTTCTACTCCCACAGAGTGTCAGCTTCTGGCTTGAGAAACAACAATCAACTGCTCTCTTGAGATGAGGAAAGATGGATAGGTTTAGGTGTATGATAAAGCAGTTGATTTAACTACTTGTCAAATTGCCCAATTTACAAATTACAGGTGCAGAGGTGTTATTGTTTTGAAATAGGGGAAAATCCAGGTACAGAAGGAGCCCACACACAACTTGACAAACACTATGATAAGCTCAGGTCAGGCACTACATGGATACTGCTGTGTAATCCAGATCTATCTTTTCTGAAGTGTGATAGCTGCAACAGCCTAAAACTATATATAGGAGCTTGGCAAATTCCAACTTGATTACATCATAAACTATATCTTCAATCAAGTATATTAGATTGTGTGGATGGCAAAAATTGTATTGGGATAAGAGGGGGAACAATGCATTAAAATTGGAACAGCCAAAAGCAATTTTAAATGGACTCACCCTAGGTGAAGAACGAGATGAAGGCCAAGTCGTGAGGACAGGATAAAAAAGTTGATTACTTGAACATCTTTTTGTTACAGTTAGGGGATGTGAGGCTGACCCCTTTTGTTCTTACCTGAAGCTATCAATGGCTTTCATTGAATTTATATTTTGTGCTGTTTCTATGTGCTCATCCAGATCAGACGGTTCTCTCCAACTTTCTAGCTTATCATTGCTCTTAATATTATCTGTAGCATAAGGTGCATTTTGCGATACCTAAAAAATGTGACATATAATGGCATTAGAACAACTTGGAGAAAAAGATCTAATTGTGCTGGCTGGATTTAACGCAGGACAGCAATATTCCTGCAAGGAGTGGTTAAAGTATTGGAGTGAGACTGGGAAGCCAAGAGTCAAGTCTAGCTTCAGCCACAAGTTTCAATTCTGGGATGGAAGAAGAGGTACTACATATGACACCTTGAGTTTATGGAGAACAGGTAGAAAATAATCAAATAAATACAAAAACTATAAAATTTGTTGTTTAAATTTCCCAACTATTAATCTCTTATTTAACAAATCATTTAATCATATGTAACAATTTCAAATATTACAGCAGCTATTTTCTAATCACAGCTTAAGCAAGAAAGGTGAGTGCATTATATACCTAACAGCTTACTTTTTCTCTTCATATAAAGGGAAAGCAAACTACATTTTTAAAGACATCTTGAGGTTAGAGGCAATCAGCACATCTCTAAAAAGATGTACAAATGCAACAGGATTCCTTCAAGTAATTACCTAGTTCTGCTGTCTAGAAAAAGTACCATTATACACGTTGCCATTCCCTACTAGAAAGGCCAGTTATATTTGAAAGAGAAGGAAAAAAAAACCATAGCTAATGGAAACTTATGTTTTCCATCAACATGTTCTCAGTGAGAGCTTGGGGAATCAAACTGAGAAACGATTGGCTTGCTTTCTATAGGATACAGCATCACCCTTCTCATATCTAGAGCCAGAACTGCTATCACAATTACATCAAAATATTTCTGATTTAAAAGATTTCTGCTATTTGTCTATACAAAACAACTTTCAATATCTGGGAGCTGAGTCATGGCAATTGGAGGGTTTTTTTCCCTTGTAGTTTGAACCAATAAGAAAACCAGTTGTCACAACTCAGTGTCCCTCTGAATCACTGAAAATTTTCATCATCTTTCAATGTGTTTCCCAGCATAAGCCATTTTTCTCAAAAAGCAACATGTTGATATTGTGAGCATTTGGGTTCTTTTTTTTACATACATTTATGTCTTGAACCATTAGATTCTCGTTTGATCAGACAATACTTGACCATTAGTTATTTACTGATTACATCCGTGTTTCTTATCCTTCTCTGTCTGTGACTATATATTTTGCATGTGGCCTATTTAACACTCACATATTTTGCCAAAAACAAACCCTAATTTCAACCTGCTAGAAATGTAGGTCTGAAATCTAATAGCAGAAATTATTAGCATTGTCAGCAACTGTGGCACTGAGCAATTATTACCAGATGTCCTAAAAATCATATCAAAGACTGGCTTTTTTTTTCTTTTCCCAATTTTAAACTATTAGCCCACTCAGAATTTCAGCTAAGACAGGATCTATCATAGATAATAATTCTAACTAGCCAAGACCAGAAGTCAAAAGCATACTATGTTTAACAATAGAAAGGTAGGCTCAGAAACTCACTGGATGACAGTTAAATGGGAAGAAAACTGCTGAGACTAATTTAATCATGATGGGATACGAGAGAGAGAGAGGTGTGTGTGTGTGAAGGACATACTCATCATTTTGGAAGGAGTATACAATATTAATGGTGTTTAAAAATCACACTTTTCAGGGATATGCCAATCACTGCTTCATTTCTCCCATAAATTAAAATCATGCAAGAATGGAAACAAGCTCCTTGGAGCCTTGAATCAACATAACTCATTGTCCTTGACATTTTACTGTAGAGCAAAACATTTAAAAAACAATCATTTGTTAAGAATGCCAATTAATAAAATCCCTTCTTTTATTAAAACTAATCTTTATGATTTGATCCCAAATTGTGTGTAAATTAAAGATGATTGGATCTCTTGGATGGATCACTGATGTGGGAAGTGCACAGGCTTCATGTTCCTGTCTTTTGAATTTCTACATAGTTCAGTGCACAATTTCTGTAACTTCCTCAATAGATCCCATCTCAAGTTGTGTGAAAACTATCCCAGACTAGTCTGTTCTGAATCCTCTTATGAAGAGTGTAAGTTTTAATGAAATGACATTTGTCAGTGCTCTCCTTTCTAAAATCTAAAGTTAATTATATCCAATTTCCCATTTTTCTGAGTTGCATAGCATTTTTGACAGCAGTATGACATAAATAAGCATGCAGGGAGAGCAGTATGATGGCTTGTCTGAATGACATCCATGCATGCAGCTGTGAAAAGATGGCATGCTCCACTGGAATTTGTTCTGAAAGCTGTTGCCTTGGGAAACAACTCATGACCCACATTTTGATGGCTGAATTGCTAATAACATTCATGAATTATGATATCACAATGTAAAATCAGTTTGAAGCTTATAAATGCCTATTGTATTTTATTTGTTTATTAAATTATACTTGTCACTATACATGGAATCTTGGCTGTTAACCAGAGATGTATGGGAATCAACTGTACAATAAGTGGTTGCTTCGGCAGCACATAAACTAAAACTGGAACGATACAAAAATTAGCATGGCCCTTGCACAAGAATGACATGTAAATTCGTGTAGCATTCCATAATTTTTTTCCCAGGATGCATAGGACAAATTTACACTTTCTTGTTGCTTGCAGCCACTACTTCTTTCTAAATACAGTGTTGCCAGCAGCAATTAAAATCCATGAGATGTGATGACCTATGTCTCAAATCAGCCGGAATATTTGACTTGCTAGCTAAGAGTATTTTGTATTATGATAGATTTAGTTAGACATATATTAATTCTTATTATTTTATATTTGCTTAATATTTTTATCCCATTTAGTAGGTTTTTAAGATTTTTGTTTGTATATTTTAAGTTTTTTTAAATGTTTTTTTTTATCTTTGTGTATTTTACATTTTAAAGTTTTTAAAAATTATTGTTTGCACTCTATTCTTCTTAGGCTGGTCTATGAGCATAATAAAGATTTCATGGATTGATAGTACAATAAAACTACAATAAAACTATAAGAAACACCCAAAATATAAAGTTAAAAATTGCAAAGATGAAATAAAATATCAATAATAGTAATATAAAAACAATAGTATTTTTAATCTTCCTCGGGCCTATTGGAAGCCAATGAGATATTAGGCATTTTTACTAATATAGGCAGCTGCCTGTCTCGCCTCCTACCCAGTAGATTGCTCAACCTTAAAATAAATAATTAAACTTAAAAAAAACTATCTAGAAGCCACTCTGTCTGAAGAACATGTAAATTCACTGGATAAAAACACACACCCCTTTTTAAAGTTGATACAAAGCAAGGCGGTTTAGAAAACCAGGCCTAGTCTACTGCTAAGGGATCATCCAAACTAAGCAGTTATATATTTCATCTGTTAATATACTTCTCCTTATTGCAAAATTTATTACATATTTATTTATTCAGTATTTTTTTTAAATTCACATGCACATATGCAAATTGACACACACACATTTTCTGTAATTTATTGATGTTTCTAATTTTGGAGAGAGGAAGGGCAGCCTGCTTCTATCCTATACTTGACTTTTTAATAGTAGATATCCAAGAAGCAGATTTCTCTAAATCTGGGTGAGCTGTTTTTTTGTGCCTAGTGGTAAAGATACTACTTTCATATTATGTCTTACTCTTTGTAAAACCACATTTAGTATAGGAGCTGAGGTAAGGGATAATCACAAGGCACATAGCTAATTTATTGGTTTATATAATGTCACAATAATGAAGTAGAAACTTCAGATATGACATTGACCTCCAAATAATTTCTAAAGTCCTTGCTCTCCCTAATTTGCTGTAAAATAAATCACATCCCTGTTTGCAAAACAGCCTTAAAGATAATGTCAATGACATTCCATGAAGAAATCAGCCTTTATCAGTTCTTATCAGATCATGACTCTTCATATTTATTTTGAGAGATACTGTGTTGTAGATAAAAATGGTATGATAACATTTCAGCAAGAAAATCTTCTCATGCAAATAAGTTAAGAGGTTTGGATTTTGTTTACAGCTTTGTATATGCTTTCAGTCCAAGCATTCTGGCAAGGTCTACCTGTTTTAATAAAATGGTAAACGTTAAACAGTCTTTTTATGGCTGTTAGAAAACATTCAAAATGAACAGTATAAACACATCTGCTTTTGTGTTTGCACTCTCTTAAATGAGACTAGAAAATGAAGGTCTTTTTCATGCTAACTAAAATAAGGTGAAACCTGCCTGCATGTTAACCATGGTCTGATACTTTTCTTTGTACCAATAGAAGAGAAGTCTGCAGTTCAGGGATGAATTGTGGCTCCCTTGATGCTCTCTGGACTTGGTTGTTTGCTGGCATGTGTTTCCTGACCAGACTCTGGCAAAAAACAACAACACCCCAACCTCAGAAAGCCCCAAAGTCTCCAAACTTCTCATGTCTTCCCAGTAATAGTTACACAATAAGTAACCTATATGAAATGCATTACTTGGATAAACTTCCCAAGTATATGCGTGTGAGATATCTGAAAGGGTTTGAGCGAATATATCACTCAAACAAGACTACGTGCCCTTTTGCAGAAAAAACAGGATGAGTATCCCAAATAATCAGGATACCAAGTTTATTATAGATTTCCCACCTTGGACAGTTTCAGGCATATTCAATGTGAGTTACATAAACAAACATGAAGATATAAAAGTAGCTTTTGTTGATCCAATATTTTGGATCATAACTCCCAGAATTTGCAGCCCAAGACAGCTGGAAGGCACTAGGTTGGAGATGATTGACAAAAAGATCAAAAGTCAATCTTTTTTATTCTTTCCAAAGCAATGGAATGTTGGAAATAAATTTCATGAGGGGGGCGCAGAACAGTGAGAACAGGAAAGGTCTTTTGAAAGAGGAATACAGTTTGCTATGATGATAGAAACCAACACAAGAAAACAGTTGTTCAAATATAATTTGAGTTTCACTGAGAGCTTCAAGCAAAAACATTAAGAAAAAAAAATCCCCTCGTTGCATTCTTATGAAAAGTTGTTCAGAATGGTGCAGATTGCTCCATTCTAAACTGTCTTTCTCCTTTTCTCTGGTCATGTGACTCAAGGTAGAATAATACAATTCATCATATGCATATTGATTTTAAGGTGCTTAACTGTAATCAACTTTTCAAAAAGGAAACCAGTTGTTCAAGGATGGTGGGGTGTGTATAGAAATGTCTGACACAGTTTCAGAATTATCTACACCACCATTCCTTTTATCTCTTTTCTAAATAAATATTTCAAAGTTGTTCTGTTATCTGAGGTGCTGATTGTATTCTCCCCAGAGAATACTAGGTTGCTCAGTAAATATTATATTCCCTGAATTCAGTAATTAAACTTGGAATAATTAGAAACTCAAGCACAGCCCAGAAACTTACAGAGTCCATCAAGACCAATGGTCAATCTGGGAGGTATCTACTATCTAAGGAAGCTACCAATTTATGCAACTCTACAGGGTTTCTGCACCAAACTGTGAGGTTTCGAATTCCAATGGATAATTGTTGACATCCTTAAAGCAGATATGCTTTCTGCATCCTCACAATCAAAGAGCTACAATTATTAGGGATGGATGGTTGATTGGGAGGCAAAAAGATGCGATGGACTGGTTGCGGATATCTGTACAATCTATCTGCGACTTCTTAAACAAATGAGATACCTTTTTGCAAAGGAAATAGGGAAAGGAACCAAGTGGAGGCATTTTGTTAGTTTGTAGCTTTCCTTCAAATGAGTCTCTGTTCTGCCTCTGGATGGATTCATACAAGAATCTTAAATGAGTCAGTTGAACATTGAGGCTTACCAACTGTATTCACACATCATGCAAAGCTTGGTTACTGTAACATTAGCGGGTTTTTAATTTTTCTAGTAGTGTGTTTAACTAGTTTACGATGCAATATTTTGAGCAAACCCAGAAGATGGTTTATTTCAGTAACCACGCTAGATGTTGTAAATATGCTGGTGTATGATTATTTTTAAATAAATAGATTCTCATTCTGAATTTTGCAGAGAAATGTCATATGTTTTAGAGAATAAGTTGTTCATCTGCATTTCCCCCACTATTAATTGTTGTAATGAAAGATTTTTAAGAGTAAAAAAAAATTGAACTTGGCTAGAGGAGAATTATATGTTTTCTGGAAACAAATCTAAAAACTTTTTAGGCACTTTTCTCTCCTCCCTGCAAACTAAACAGTAACATTTTTGTTTAGGAATGCTGCTTCCACACAAGGCTTTTATTGTGCAATTGCCCTGCTACATGCAAAAAATGTAACCAGTGCAAGATGGGGTCCAGATGTTACCATCTTCCATTTGTAAGCCCAAAGTTTCTTTTGTAATGTTGCCTACTAGAAAATAACTCAGTTGCAGGAAAAAGGCAGGCTGTTTCCACAATGTCTTATGATTGGTAGCACCAAAAACTGCTTATTTGCAAGCATTTTTACCACAGCTTAGTCATGCTTTCAATAAATGCTACATAATGGACAATAGACAAGCACAGGTAAAAATTGTAATTCCAGAAAGTACAGTCTGAATTCTCACAGCAATTCAGCTAGAGGTGTCCCAATGTGGCCATCATGGTTCCAAGCGTTAAGAACCATTTGTTATCATGATATAACTTTTTCCTTTGGTACATCTATTGATGTCAATACGCGTGTCTCTTTTAGATGAAACTCCAAAGATAAATTGAAGCAATTTAGAGAGGCATTTGATATTTGTAAAACTGTATTTCATTCCAGTTTTTATTTTGGTTCCAAAATTTGGTGAGTTCAACTTTGCCATGTTTTAGAGAATACACAATATCACCAGTTTTTCACAGGCCTTCTTGACTAAGGTATGACAAGATAAAGCTACAGCAAAATGGATAGATTGTGCAAGAAGAGATAGGATTTGAGGTCTGAGCCAATGAAGCAACTAGGAGCTACTTTACAATGATTACCGTATTTTTTGCTCTATAAGATGCACCTGATTATAAGATGCATCTAGGTTTAGAGGAGGAAAACAAGAAAAAACTATCAGGCAGAGCCTGAGAGGACCACTGATAGGTGTCCTCTCATGTGCCAGCTCTGCCTATTGACTCCTGCACTGGGAAAAAAGAGACAGAAGAGGTGGGCAATGACAAAGACAAAAGAGGCAGGGTTCAGCACTGTAAAAGAACCCCGCCACTGCAGTCCAGCTGCTATTCACCAAAGGACCAGCATCGATGGACAGACATTTCCACCCACTTTTTTTTTGGGGGGGGGGAGTACATCTTACGGAGCGAAAATACGGTAATAAAGAGGGTTACTATCAGTTAACTATCCATCCTACAGGAATACTATAAGGCAATTGCCTCATCCAGGTATTTAGATGCCTGTAAATGCCCAGTGTGTAAGCCCTTCAGATATAGTGACAGGGATTCTCTCAAACCCTGTCATCTTAATGGCATTTCTTGGGACAGGAATTTTTGCACTGAGTATAAACATCTCCAGCAGAAAAACCTTTTCATGCATAAACCAGAAATCATTTTAATAATGCTAGGGGTGTGGGGAAGGGATCGTTTGTTTGTCTGTTGAACAGTTTAGATACTGGAAGCTTAAAATGGTGTT